GGTTTTCGTTTCGAATATTGTGCATACCTCATGCAACTTGGATCTTATGCATGATTGACGTCGACTCGTTTCAATTTCCTCTCTCAAATAATGCGTGTAATCATCCAAATTTATTGTTCGTGCTATGACATTGCTCTTGACGCCTTTTGCCTTTTTAATATCTTTTTTACCTCCTACTATCAAGGCGTACATTTTTGCTCTGAGCCCGACGAATTCTGTCATTATAGCTCCGTTATTTTCATCCTTCATAAGCCCTGGAACTTTTTTGTTCATAAGTGGTATACCGTATATATTATTTTGCGGATAATCGCTCGTATCGAATCTAACAATATCACGTTTCATTAGCTCATACACATCGTTGGACATTACATGGTAAATTAAACTGTCTGTGTCTGTGTACATTATTTTACATTTCTCACGATACAGAGGTGATATGTACTCATGGTGAAATTCATACAAGCAGGCCTTAGATATGTCGATAATACACATACTCACATAGATCGGCTTGTTGAACTTTATTTCGAATTTTCGCATTTCAACGGCAATTAAATTTCTGAAAAGATGCTCCTGCTATGAAAATTTGGTATCGCGATCATTGCCTCTGCACCGTATCGTCCGTTCCATTTAGTCAAAAGTTTTACATCAACATGATTGCGAACATTTTCCATTGTTTTGCCGAATACTGCGTTGTTCATCAATTTGTATAAATTTTTCTCAAAATCGTTTGTTGCATGTGTTCGAAACTGTGTATTTAATTCTATATAGTCGCGAAGCCATGGAGATTGTGCGAATTGTAGTATGCGGTGAATCTTTCCGATACGAAAGCCATGGTGCATACACTGTTGCAGGTTGCGATAATGAATAATATAACGCTGATATAAAGTTGCAAGGAGTTTCTCTTGCTTTTTGCCCGGTGGCTTGGTTCGCGTTGAACAGAACGGTAGATCCGTGTATGCATCATGTAGATGTTGAGATACTCCATGTCGACCTCGAAAATATAACCTGTGGGCGAATCCGGTGGGATTGATGATACATCAAAATTCGACGTATCATCAACCGATTCAAATTCGGCGTATGGCAGTGGTTGACACATTGCCCAACCATACAAATTATTTATATCAAAGTACATAAGATATGAGAATGGTTTCGATGAATCGTAAGATTGCATGTATTTATTATTGGCTTTTGCGTATCTACTGGAACATTGACTCAGACCACCGCGTATACCGCGTTCGATAAATATTACCATATCAATATCTGTAAGCAGCTGAAAATTAATTTTTGTATGTTTTAACATTGCGTCCTACGTGAAACCTAGCAATATATAATAATACCAGGTCTGTAAATATGAAACCGGAATTTGCCTATAGATGGCCCTAGCTGTCAATATAGTTTAGGGTTTTTGATGTCCTCTTGCTCTCTCGTCGATTGCAAGTGGAGGGTAGGTTCCTAAATCAACCTAGGCGTGTTCTTTTCCTTTGGTATTTTTATTACGCACGTGCCTGCCAGTCACAGAGCACGTGAATCACAGATGTGGCGTATGCGCCTCAAAGTACAAAAGTCGTTGCTCTCGCACGCATACAGGTCACAGCGAGACTTGTACATGTGTAGACAGACAGGGGCCGATGCACCTGCCTGCTTGCTCTCGCACGCACGCGACCGCGTGTAAAAATCGCAGTATCACACAAGACAACGGAAGAAACAATCGAAGCTAAGAACTAGCGACTGTGTTCAGTGTTCAGCGCTCTGTGAGCGCTTTCAACGGTTACTGCTTTCCGTTGCTCTTTTTCCGCGCACGAGTGAGACTTGCGCGCGCTCTATAGCGCCGCACGGAAACGGATGCGTGCGCTTTGGGGAACTCAAAGTCCCCACAGGTACTCCCCCCTCAGTGCCTCTCTAGGCAGAGAGAAACGAAACTTGTTTTTTTTTTTCGCGTACGTTTTGATTTGCGGCGCGGACGAAGTGGACGGACGCGGATCACTTATTTGCGGCTGTTCGGAGCCGCTATCTTCTGACATAGTAAACGCGGGTTTTAGCGACTCTGTTGACAAAGTTTTTTCCTCACCATTGATATCCACGAGGAATACGCGGTCTGTTATTCGCCTGATTACTTGGTGAGGACCCGAATACGGCGGATCGAGCGGTCGGCGAACAGAATCAATGCGACGGAAAACGTGCGAACAAGTGTACAGATCTCGGAAAACGAACGGTTTCGCGTTTGTGTGATGAACTGTTGCAGTTGGACGGATCTTACGAATATACTCGCGGAATTTTCTAGAAATATAAATGGATCAGCCGGTGGATCCTCATGAACAAAAAATTCACCCGGTAACCGTAGTGTTATGCCGAAGAGAAGCTCTGCTGGAGACGCTTGCAGGTCCTCCTTCACGCATGTTCTTAGGCCAAGAAGAACGGTTGGTAAGATGTCCAGCCACGGTGTTGGTGCGTAGCATCTCAGCGCTGCCTTCAGGGTGCGATGCCAGCGTTCGATAAGTCCGTTCGCTTGTGAATGATACGGCGTAGTGCGAATCCGAGTTGCGCCAATTAGCCGCGCTAATGACTGGAAGAGTGCAGATTCAAATTGCGTTCCTTGATCTGTGGTGATTGTCAGTAGAGTTCCGAAGTTGCATATCCAGTGATTGAAGAGAGCGGATGTTACAGTGTCTGCTTCAATGTTCGGTAGTGGAAGTGCAACTAGCCATCTGGAAAAACGATCTATGATTGTGAGGCAATAGCGGTTATCTCGTACAGGCGGTAGCTTTATCAGGTCCAAATGGATGTGATTGAATCGGTTGTCCGCTGCTTCGATGTATTCAGGCTGTGATTTGTTGTGCCTGCTGACTTTTGATCGCTGGCACGGTAAACACTCGCGTGCTCAGCGAGAAACGTCTTGGTTGATGCCTGGCCAGATGAATTTCTGTTTGATGCACTTCAGCGTTGAGCGAGCGCTCGGATGAGCCGGACCATGGATGGCGTCGAATGCCTTGCGTCGAAGTGGTTGTGATAGGTACGGTCGTACTATGCTCATCGAGACATCACACCAGATGTCTTCTTCCTCGATCCGAAGGTGGTTCAGCTCGAGCGACGTGGATCTTACGATGTCTACGAGTTCTGGATATGCTTCCTTGCAATGATTTCCGCTGAGAGTGTGCTTGGCATCTCAATTGCGCTGATCCTGGAGAGCGTGTCTGCAACCACGTTGTTTTCGCCTCTCACATGGACTATGTCCGTGGTGAACTGCGAGATGTAGTCCAGTTGTTTCAGCTGGCGTGGCGAGCTCTTTTCTGCCTTCCTGCTAAAAGCGTATGTTAGCGGTCGGTGGTCTGTCCGTACCTGGAATACTCTTCCTTCAAGTATATGTCTGAAGAATTTGACGGCGAACACAGCAAGAAGCTCTCGGTCATATGTGGAGTATTTCTGCTCGGCCGAAGAGAGTTTCCGTGAGAAGAATCCAAGCGGCTGCCAGTGTCCGTCTATCTGCTGCTCGAGTGACGCGCCTATAGCGGAGTCAGCAGCATCGGTCGTCAGTGTGAGAGGTGCATCCGGAGCGAGGAAGGCTGAATGTGTGGCAGCTGTCAATGCGTCCTTGCATTTCTGGAACGCAGCCTCTGTCTCCGCTGTCCAGGGAATCTCTCGCTTGTCCCTCTTCTTCGCATCCTTCAGGTGTCTAGTTAGCGGAGCTTGCTGTTGAGCGGCATTCGGCAATACTCGACGGTAATAGTTTACCATCCTCAAGAAGCGGCGTGGATCTGCGATGGTCTTGGGTTTTGGGAACTGTTGAATGGCTGTTACCCTGTCGAGTGGTAGTTTAAGTCCAGCCTGTGAGACGGTGTAGCCGAGATAACGCACAGAATCCTGTCCAAAGAAGGATTTGGTCGCATGGACTGGAAGGTTGTTCTCCTGGAGCACTCTGAGAACGGCATCGAGATGTTGAAGATGTTCTTCATGACTGTCTGAGAAGACGATGATGTCATTCACGTAGCATGCAGCAAAGTTGATCCCGCGCAGTATATTGTTCATGTGCCGTTGGAACGTTTGCGTGGCATTTCGGAGTCCAGGCGGCATGCCTAAGAATTCAAACAGGCCGAAAGGTGTCGTGACAGCGGTTTTGGGGACGTCCTCCGGTGCAACAGGAATTTGGTGATAAGCTCGGATTAGGTCTAGCGTGGAAAAGACCTTTTTCCCGTGCAACTGTTGCAGGATGTCCTCTATTCGTGGAATCGGATATCTGTCTGGAACAGTTTGAGAATTTAGACGCCGATAATCACCTGTTGTGCGCCAGCCACCTTGGTTTATCTGCACCATGTGTATCGGACTCGCCCATTGACTGCGTGAAGGTTGCACGACCCCGAGATGCAAGAGAAGGTCGAAGTCTGCCTTGGCGGCTGCCAATTTGTCACCTAGAAGTCGTCGTGGACGCTCGAACACTGGAGGTCTTGTGGTTTCTATGTGATGTGCGATTCCGTCAAAGCGGATCGCTGAAGGAGTTGGCCTTAGTGCAAAGACTGCAGCGTGCGAGTCCAGTAGTGTGGCATATGCCTCTCGGTGTGGTGAGTTCGAAAGATTGTGCTGGCTGGTTGCGGAGACACTAAAAATGGTTGTCTCACATACCTGACCCTGTGTGACAAGGCTGGTTTTTGAATCCACAAGGCGTTGTCGAGAAAGATCGATGATTAGACCATAGTGTGAGAGAAAATCAGCTCCGATGATCGCTGAGTTCACATCAGCAATGATGAACGACCATTTTAATGCGCGGCGAAGTCCGAGGTCGAGGGTGAGCGGCTGCTGACCAAATGTGCAGATGGCTGATGAATTGGCGGCGAATAGTTGTAGCTCGGTAGGAGTGAGCTTCCTGTACACGGACTTCCGAGGAATCAGTGAAACAACGGATCCAGAGTCGACCAAGAACCTAATGTTCGTGGTCCTATCAAAAACGTGGAGTCTTTTCTCACTAGGCGCTGCTGTGCTGTCGCCGATTGCCTGTGTCAACGGCAGTGACATCAGTTTCCCGCGCCATTTGCATTGGTGGCTTGGAATGTAAAGCTGCACGGCTGCTGGCATCGTCTCGTAGCAGCACCGAAGCGGCGGTGGTAATAGCACCACTGACTGGTTAGTTGCTGAGTATGGCTGTTACGAGAACGCGACCTGGAACGTGTACGTTGACGCTGGGTGGGCTGTCCTTGGTGGACAACAGCAGGCAGCAGGCGCTCAAGCAGAGTCGTCAGGTGTGCGACGGACTGTTGCATGGTGGTCACTGCTTCTCCTAACCGCTGAATGGTTTGGGTGTCGGCAGAGGTTGCAGCTCCCAGTCTACCTGGTGACAGTGAATGTGGTGCAGCAACTGCAAGAACTTGAGATGTAGAAGAGCCTTCCATGAGCTCGTCTGCAACTGTTGAGAGGTCCTCCAAACAGGTTGTCCGGAGGATCTTGAGGACTCGCTGTATCCCGGGTGGTAGAAGTGCTAGCCAGCGCACTCGCAGGATGTCCTGTGACACTCGGTCGCCTGCAAGCGTCCTCATGTGACGGAGGAGTTGCGAGGGCTTGCGATTGCCAAGCTCCAAGTCTGTGAGTAGACGGTGGAGCTGCTTGTCTGCAGAATCTGCGAAACGTGCAAGTAACTGCGTTTTCAAAGTGACATACTTGTCAATGACAGGTGGTGATGCCAGGATGTCCGCTATTTCCTGAATTGCTTTAGAGTCGAGTGCACCGATGACAAGGTGATATCTGCCGTCATCAGAGCGAACACGATGTATCTGGAATAGTGATTCTATTTGAGCGAACCACAGAGCTGGCTGTTGTTTCCAAAACGGTGGAATTTCACACGCTGTGATGGACTCGATGACATTGTCGCTGAACGGAGGCCCCATGTCAATGAGCGGCTCCAATTGGGGTGCACTCCCGTGAGGTAGTTCGATGTCGCTTGGCCCTGCCGGTGTGACGGGTGGCTGCTCCGATCCCCTGGACGGAGGGGTGTGATGTAGCGACATGATGTCTCTGTTCGGATTCACGGAGTGAATACGATTGTACGCAGTTTTTTACTCGAGGCACTGATAAAAATTGCGTGTGCGGCTATCGCGTTGCAAACAGGCGCGAAAAAGTGTGTGGCACTTGATCAGAATTTTTACTGTTGTAGAACTGCACGTGTCACATTCACGATGACTGCATGCGCAGAGCAGAGTCTCAGCCAATCAGAACCCGTCACGCATGTGCCGATGGTCACCACGCGCACAGCACCGATTCTCCGACCAATCAGAGTTTGTCACGCATGCGCCGATAGTCACTACGCGCACAGCACCGAGTCTCCGACCAATCAGAGTTTGTCACGCATGCGCCGATAGTCACTACGCGCACAGCACCGAGTCTTCAACCACTCACAGCTCGATTCTGCCTTTCATCGAAGCGAAGCTGTCCGATGGTGGCGGAATCACCCGATGCGGACAAATGTTTCCAATTTTTGGGAAATTTGAATTTTCACCGGTCGGCAAGGTGACCTCAGCCAGAAGATCCGTTGGAATAGGCACAATGTCTCTCTCTTCTTCCGTTGCACTGCGAATCTTGTCCGGTTACCAATTTAGGTGTCGGGGTCACCAATTTAGGGTTTTTGATGTCCTCTTGTTCTCTCGTCGATTGCAAGTGGAGCGTAGGTTTCTAAATCAACCTAGGCGTGTTCTTTTCCTTTGGTATCTTAATTGCGCACGTGCCTGCCAGTCGCAGAGCACGTGAATCACAGATGTGGCGCATGCGCCTCAAAGTACAAAAGTCGTTGCTCACGCACGCATACAGGTCACAGCGGGACTTGTACATGTGTAGACAGATAGGGGCCGATGCACCTGCCTGCTTGCTCTCGCACACATGCGACCGCGTGTAAAAATCGCAGTATCACACAAGGATCACAACGGAAGAAACAATCGAAGCTAAGAACTAGCGACTGTGTTCAGTGTGCTCTGTGAGCGCTTCCAACGGTTACTGCTTTCCGTTGCTCTTTTTCCGCGCACGAGTGAGACTTGCGCGCATTCTATAGCGCCGCACGGAAACGGATACGTGCGCCTTGGGGAACTCAAAGTCCCCACAGTAGTTACCGCATGGATATAGGAATAAGGGGTTGGAGCCTATTCAGCGGGGGGTGAAGACGTCGTGAGGGACGAGGTAAGTTATCACGTGGTACCTTTGGTGCCGCATTGGTGATTGGCTGTAATTTGTTAAGGTTAGAGTGCCCAGTGTGAAGTTGTACAGCAGTATAGGAGTGACAGTGTTTAAGAAATATTAGAAATATATACACATATAATGTCACAGTGCATTGTAAAACAGTGAAAAAATCGCACATTATTAATAAGCCGCTCAGTATTAGGAAATAAAAGAATGGAAAGAAACCATAACATATCATATCACTGGTAAGAAAAATCATATTCTATTTTTTATATAAAAATACAATATATATTAATCTCAGTAATAGTTCTAAAACTCTAATGTAAACTGATAAATAATATTGTTATGCCCGCGCGTGAAAGAAATAACTCGGGATAAACTAAACGAGAAAAGCTTTATTTACAACCAAGAAAAACGGATCTTAATCAATCTCAAAATAATCGCACGAATTCGCTTTACCTCCGCACGCCGTGACAGGACTAGAGCGACTCTCTCTACTCTAGTTTTTTGTTAGTAAACAAACTCCTTGACAACGATAACAGCTGTCAAACACTCTCTATATGCCTTCTTCACAGTTTTCTCCCAAGAGCGTGGGAACAACACGTTCCCCAAAGGCGTGGGCACAACAATATAAAAAAAAGGTCAAGGAGAGTATTAGCCGTTATTCGGGCAAAAAAATATATTAGGTGCGCAACTAAGTTCTCGCTGTCTTTTTTTTATGAAAATGCAACTTTATTGTGAAAAAATGGTTACAAATGAATCATTCAAAATATTGTCCATCGCTAGCGACAACTTTTTCCCATCTTTCTGGCAGAGCTCGAATACCGTCACGGTAGAAGTGTTCGTCTTTTGAGACTATCCACGAATCAAGCCATTTTGAGATGTCTTCATATGAGCGGAACTGCTGATTAGCCAGACCATGTGCCATCGAACGGAACAAGTAATAATCGGACGGCACAATATCTGGGGAATATGGCGGGTGGGGTAGGACTTCCCATTTGAGCGTTTCTAAGTAGGTTTTAACGGGTTTGGCAACGTGAGGCCGAGCATTGTCATGCTGTAGAATCACTTTTTCGTGCCTCTGCTCGTATTGTGGCCGCTTTTCGCGCAGTGCTCGGCTCAATCGCATCAATTGAGTTCGATACCGTTCCCCAGTGATGGTTTCGTTCGGTTTCAACAGCTCATAATAAATAACACCGCCCTGGTCCCACCAAATACATAGCAAAACCTTCGCAGCGTAAATATTCAGCCGAGCCGACGACGTAGAAGCATGACCGGGCAATCCCCATGATTTTGTTCTCTTTGGGTTGCTGTAATGAATCCATTTTTCATCACCCGTAACGATGCGATGAAGAAAACCCTTCCTTTTTTGCCGCTGGAGCAGTTGTTCACAGGCGAACAAACGACGCTCAACGTCTCTTGGCTTCAAATCATAAGGAACCCAAGTCCCTTGTTTTTGAATCATTCCCAATGCATGCAATCGCTGGATTGGCAATGGAAATGGCTTGGCGGGTAACTTCTAATGCTGAAGCAAGCTCTTTTTGCGTTTGGCACGGATCCTCATCGAGCAATGCCTCCAATTCAGCGAAGGTTTTTGGCCTTCCTTCACGCGAACGGTCGTCAACATCGAAATCACCGTCTTTGAAGCGACGGAACCAATCACGGCACGTTGTTTCACTTAGAGCAACATCTCCGTAAACTTTTTGGAGTTCTCGATGCGCTTCAGCCGCCGTTTTCTTCGAATGAAAGAAGAAAAGCAACACTTCCCACAAATGACGATTATTTGGCACAAAATAAGACATTTTCACACAACCAAAAGTATATGACGCAAAAACAAAATCACTAATGTGTCAAAGCGGTTTGTTTACCATATGTCTAAGCTTGGTTCATGACGTTTTGGTTATGTCACAATCGACCAGCACTTACTACTGGAGCCATCTCTTGAAAAACAGCGGGAACTTATTTGCGCACCTAATAATTAATATGAGCTGTTCGCAATTTGTTTCCCAAATGCATTCCTTCTGCTGCCTGTAAATTATGCAGTTTCTCAAGATATACCCATTGTATATGTTTATTATATTTATGAATAAAAGTTTTTAGATCCCCAAATGTATTTCTCACTAACTTCAACATGTGGCATGGATCAGGAAATATTACTATTAGTTCCTTCGTTACTGCATGCTAAAAAGTTGTCTACAAACTAAAAATATTATTAAACTTACATCCTAATTGTTGCATCATAGCAAAGTTAGTAGCTGTGCCATCACAAGTAACACACGCAATCTGCATACCAACATAATGCAAAGAAGAAATACATTGTAAAGCTAGATTCTGTTTTTGTTCAGCAGTAATTTTGTCAACTAAGAAATAAGCCACTGGAACTTTCCATGCACTATTAATGCACACAACCATAAACATTAATGCCTCTTTTGCGAGAGTCGTGTCAGCACTAATTATATTGTCACCCATATCAACGTATCCATCATATTTTTGACCGTCGTACTCTAAATGTTGGACGGATAGCCATTTCATCAAAAACTAGTGACCCAAACAATTGATATTCAACATTAGGTGTTCGTTGTTTAATAGCATTTATAGCTTCTAACATAATAATCTAACATAATGCCAGGCTTTCCTTCAATATTTTGATACCATTTAGATATTGTTTTATAGTGTGGTAAGCAGTTATTAAATTCTTGATGCACATATTCATATGCTTTTGGTGAATAATAATGAAGCGTTAAAGCAAATGCCTTTAGTTGTTTATCATATTGTTTAGGTACAGAGTTTCCTCTACATTTACGCAGTTGTCTGTTTAATATTTTAGAATGACCCCCACCTATGTCTTATAATAAGTCTATTTCTTCAGCTCCTAATAAGTTTTTTTCTTTCAGCAACTTCAGAATTGCGTCAGAGAAACGATCTGTGATTCCTTTCGCCGAACCTTCTGTTGCAAATATTTAATTTTTCTCTGGTACAGGTTTTTTGTGCTTTCTAGCTGTTTTCGCAAACGTTTCTTCTCCGGAGAATTAAATATCCTATTTGGTGAAACGCTTGTCGAATTATACATAACTATAACAGTTTTAATGTCATGTGTAAAGAATTTTAATTGTATGAACTTTGTATATATTATAAAATAAAGTTTAAATATTATAAAATTACAATATAAAATATTATAGTAAATATGATAAAATAATATTAAATTTTCCTTATAATTACTGTGTCCAGGAATAGGAGATGTACCTGTATGTGTTGTCGTAATCATATTACATACAGAACTTGATGCAATATTTGTATCATGTGAAATATTTGCATTAGGAACTGCATCAGGAACTATATTAATTACATCAGCAACCACACGTACTATATACATAAGTAAACAAAAGATATATTTATAAAATACGATATGAAGTATGTTATAGTAATTACAGTATAAAAATAAAGTATCTCTATTATATCTATTTGATACCTGTATATGGTAGCACATTTGGTCCAAGTTTTCTCATCTCAGTTGATGAAATTTGAAATGCTTCTTCAGCAAAATGTGCTGAACAAATTCTTGCTCCAATTGGAACCAACTCTGCAGTCAAGTGAAGCATATCGCACCATAATTGTTTTAATTTTTCGTTCTTTGGAAATCTAATTAATAAATTACACGTGTAAATTTATATTATATTATTAGTCTTATATTAGGAGCGCAAAAAAGTTCTGAGCCTTTTTTTGCAAAATTCAAAATTTATTTAAAAACAAACAAAACTATATTAATCAACGAAATATTCCCCGTTTGCATCGATGACCTTTTGCCATCTTTCGGGCAGCTTGCGAATTCCCTGATGGTAGA